GATAAATATCGTTTATTATCATTTTGTCATTTCTTCCCTCTTCTTCATGTTGATCTTATATCATTTAAGGATAATTATTTACTTGTTCTTATCTGAACTTTTTTCTTTATTTGTGTGAATTTTTTATCAAAAAATAGCTAAATTTTGTCACAAATTTTATAATTAATGCATGAAAAGATTGTTGATTTTAACTGAATTTGAAGTTTTAAATTTCGATTAAATCGTAATTATAATGAGACGATAATTATTGATTCATGTGGTAGTTGTTACTGTTCGTTGTTCCTGTGATACAAACGTATGAACTCGTTTACCTATTGGTTTACCATTGCTATCACGAGCCTGTGCAAAGCCTATCTGAGAATTTCCAACATCGAATACGGTATAGTAATGACCGATGAATACATCGCCAAGAATCCATAATTCACCCACTCGTTCAGGTAAATCAATACCCATGAAACCGGAAAGGCAAATTGATTTGCCCTGTGCCGATACCTAAAAAATGCTTTAAGACATTTATTTGATTATAAAAAATTTTACAAAAATTATAGAATTCCAGAGAAAGAAAAAAAGGAACATGTCGCAAAATTTAGCCTAATTTTGGTTATAGTTGAGAATTTTGCATAAAAATTGAATTTCATTTCAAAACAATTTTACTTTTACATTTTATGCGAGAATTGATTGAAGAAAAAGGGAAGAATGTCCCACTTACATTCAAAACATAATCTGATCCTTTTAAAGTATAACTTTTGCCAGCAATGACAAATGTAATTTCAGGTAGGGATGGTACTTTATAACATGGTATGATATATTCATCCGCATAAAGATGCTCCGCTCCAATATATTTTTGAATTTTATCAATTTGACTTTTTGGACCAGCAATTAAGCTTGTTCCCGTATCTGCTATAGCCTGAAATTAGCACATCAATATTTTTTAAAGCACTATTTTATATTATGGTAAAAATGATTCATGACTATTTTAGTATAAATAATTAATTCATTAATTCATAATTTAAGCATCAATATCTGAATAGTCTAATATTTCTAAACAGAATTGTATTATACTTGAATACTAAATAATAATAAAATGTATCAATCAAAAAATGTTCATTATATTATTTAAATTATCACCTATATTTTATTCTTTTTTTATAACTTGAATATACTGATGAAAGTATAGGTTGAATTGCTGTCAATTACACATTTTTCTCAAAAGGAAGGATGGTTTTAAAATTTGTTTTTAATTTATTCTATAGTCTATGTATTTTGCTAGTAATTATAAGCAATAATATCTAAAAATTATACAAAAAAAAGGAAAAATTATAAGCTACTAATTATAAATAATATTTAAACGATTAATATTTAGTCCTTTTTTTTCTTTTTTAAAAAACATTTTATAAAATCGATTATCAAAATATTAAATATATTATCGATGCATTAAATTTGAAATATTTAGTAAATCCTTTAAGTTGAATAATTTTATAATTATACAATTATCAAACAAACCTGGCATCCATTAGCACAACTAATTGCTTTACCATCGCCTTGTATGCTATCCATTTGAAATTGCCAATATCCATGCTTTGATATAGGAGTATATACAAGTGGTGCTACAAACCTATTAACATCAATACCACCCAATGTTATTTCACCACCAATTTCATCATTTGGATTTCTGGAATAAATAATGATAACAATAAATCATCAGTAAATAACTTTCAATAACAACAACAACAACAACAAATAACGACAAACAAATGACAAAAGCAATCAACAACGACAAATGACAATAAACAAGAATAACAACAAAAAAAATAGCAAACAGTAAACAACAACAAACAGCAATAACGGCAAAAAAAAAAAAAAAAAAACAAACAACAAAGAAACAGTGAACGACATAATGATAATAATAATTATTATTAGTAAATTGGCAACAACCATAGAATACATACAAAATACTATTTTCAAATGGTTTTCAAAATGACACTTTTTGTTTGCTTTTGTCATTTGAAAATGTCAAAATGATAAAACAAAAAGTGAGCAAAAATTTCGAGTAAAATATAAAAGAAAATAAAAATCATCAAAAATGCTTATGTGAATAATACAGAAATTTCTGTAAAAATTTTTATAAAAATTTAAATTTGAAAAAAAAAAACAAGAAAATTCAAACAACCTATCAAGCCAAAAAGCAAACAACGATTCTTTGACAGTTTTTTGCTTAATCATTGTATGAAATACTGGACTTAATCCAAGAACTGCAATTTCCGGAAATGCCATACCCAAAATACCATCAAATTTAGCCATGACAAATGTTACACCAGGTTCTGAAGTTGCTTCAGCAAATGGTTGATCCGTAACACAAATATCGGCAATCTAAAATTGTCCCATTGTTTTTTTTTTTTCGTTTTAATCAACAAACTTAAAATGAGCAATATAAAATATAAAAATATAAAAGGAAAAAAAATATAAAAGGAAAAAAAAAGTATCAATTAGAAGTATTAAAGGGAAATTTTATATTAACGAAAAAGATAAGCATTATAAATTGAGTAAATTAATTAATATTAGATATAAGCAAAAATTGATATAATTAATTAGGTTCTATTTGTTAACTGTTTATAATATATGTATTACGTACACAAACAGTATCCGATGAAATGAATCCTTCCATTGAACCTCTTCCGTACTGAATTTTTATTTTTCTACCGTCCGGTTTATATGTTGTCGATTGTGCTCCTTTATATTTATTATGGAATACTGTAAAAAAAAAGGAAAAGAAACTAATAGAAAGAAAAGTTAGAGAAAAAGAAACAAAGCTAGGCTGCTTTTTTTGGCTCTTTGTGATTAATTTAACCTAAAATATAAAATTCAGAATATTATTACAATAGTATGAATTAAATAAAATGAAGCATTTATTAATAATTGAAATATTATTTTTCAAAAAAACGAAAAGTTCCATAAATCAATTTGTTCATTATCAAAATTAAGCTTACAACAAGCAATATCCGAAAAAGGACATTTTACGGATGGTATCCAAAGATTTGATGAACCAGTATCAAAAACAACACTGAAATTCTGGGCTGGTGTACCAATCGAAATTTGACCATAATACTGAGCCTGACAAATTAATCTCATTTCAAATCAACATTAATGAATATTAACTAGTCAATCGCTAACTTCTTAAAATGTTTAAATTTATTTCTTTGGATACAATTGAAACAGCGAATTAAATTATCAATTTCCATAATATGCTTTTAGAAAATTTCTGAACTTGAATTAATGTTTGAATTTTTTTAATAAAAATCACTGATATAATCAATAAATTTAAAATTGTACTTTTTTGAGAAAAATTCATTAAAAAAAAGAAAAGAATAAATTAAATATAAATTAAATTTACACGAAAACACCATATTAATATCACTTACATCCATATAGTTCTTTAGTATTTCATCAGTTTCGCTTATCGTTCTTGGCCTTGAAGCTAAACCGAAATCTAATCCGATTTTACGTTGAGTTTTTTTCCGTTGAATTTGAAAATTGAGCAGTTTATTGTATGATTCCAATGAACCTGTTTTTATAAGATCTGCACGAAGTGAATTCTGTTTACGTAATGCAATCCTGAAATACATCTCGACACAGCATTAATTAACGTTTCATGAACAATGATTTATTATTTTTATTTTATCACTATTATTATTATTATTATCATTATTATTATTATTATTATTATTATTATTATTATTATTATTATTATTATTATTATTATTATTATTATTATTATTATTATTATTATTATTATTATTATTATTATTATTATTATTATTATTATTATTATTATTATTATTATTATTATTATTATTATTATTATTATTATTATTATTATTATTATTATTATTATTATTATTATTATTATTATTATTATTATTATTATTATTATTATTAGTTATTACTTATTATTAGTTATT